CATCCATCCATCCATCCATCCATCCATCCATCCATCTATCATCGGTCCATCGGGGGCGGTACCTGAGGACTCTGTCTGACATCTGATTGGTCTTACTGCCACCTTCAGCAGGGTGAGTCTTTTCATGGACCTTCGCCATCTTTTCAGCAGCTGCGATGGGACAGCCGGACAGACTGACGGAGGAGGAGGAGACGACAGGAGTAGGTTAGACACGCTTTACTTGGTTTCACTGTCCCTTGGATTCCTTCAAGATCTTTGGTTGGTTTGGGCTGGTTAACTCTCTGGCTGCTGAGGAACTAGTTAACCAATTGCTGGTTCTATCATTCTAAAACAACTAGCAGTTGAATTTTTGACATGAGAAGTTAATCTTCAAATAAATCATAATATATCACTGCTCCCAGCCTCAGTATCCAGTATGGATACCAACTAGTTGCCAAGATTACTCTGGTAACAAGGCAACACATTGATCATGTGAGATCGCCCTTAATTTGGATTTGTTTGAAGATGGCGGTGGAGGGTCTGCAGACCCCCTGAGCGAGGGGAAGGAAACCTAAAGGTACCGCAGGCGGTTCATGCAGGAGGAAGACCTCAGCGCTCAGACTGATCTGAAACGTTCTCATGAAACATCACTCAGGTGAGACCAAAGCAGACTCACCTGCGGTGGGAGTTCCTGTTGCTATTGACATGCCCCCGTCCAGAGCAGCCCGGAGTCGGACACTTTAACACATTTTCATACATGGCAAGAACTTCAGCAGACAGGAGAAGGTGAGAAAGACAGCGAGGGTTAGGAGCAGACAGGAGAGTTACCGGCTGTTGTTTTACTGACTGCTGGGCATGCTCAGTTCACACCAACATGACTGACAGGATGTTCACAAACACTGATGAGTCAAACTGTGAGCGGATCCTGAGATGTAGCAGGGAGAACATTTTTACTAAGAACCACCAGTAGATACCTCTTCTGATCCAGAACCATCTTGTCCAAAGCTAACTGGTACAAAACCATTATGTAAATGTAGAGCCCTTTATTGCCCCACAATGGAGAAATTCACTCTCTGAGCTGCCATCGTGTGGTGCCCGGGGAGCACTCTGGAGTTAAGGGTCTTGCTCAGGGACCCAGAGGCTGTGGGGTCAAACCGGGTACTTTTGGTTGAGTTCCATCAAACCTCTTTGCAATCCAAATCCCACAAACTGCAATATGCTGGTGAAGATTGGACTTTGTTTCCAAGTTTGAAGACTTTTTGCTTCCCATCCGGGAAGCTTTTTTAATTCAAAATATCAGAAAAAGCGTTAAGTTTGAGGCTTTATAGAGTGGACCAACAAGGTTGCGATGACCGCCAACCCCTTTACAGGGGTACAGAAGACCTCGCCTGTTCAGCCAGGCCAACAATTTCCCCTAACGACCCCCCTTTCAGAGACATAGACAGGTATGGGGCATTGCAGGCGAACAAAGAAGCCAATTCTAAACTTCCACCACAAAACGGGCGAATCCAAACAAACCCCGAATTGACGTAAACTCTAGCAAGTTGCCTTATCTGGTTGTGGCCTGTACTTTTGTCACGCCATGACCTGCTACCATCACCGGGTCGTGTTCAGTGGCCCCGTCCCCCGCTGGCTCCCTGCCCTCGTCCGCCGGGGTTCCCAGACCAGCCCCGGAGCTGACGGCTCAGTTCTGCTGCACTGAAGTCGACCAAAATCCCGGATGATTTTGAAATTCCCCCTGGACATTTTTTTAGGTACTACAAGTAGGACATGTACAGGAAAGAGAGGACGTCTGGTCCTCTCATCATATCAATGATGTTTCAGTGAGTGAGTGCTTGTTGCTATGATGCCGCTTCGCTCTTCGTAAACCAACCAATCAGAGCACAGCTCATCTAAATA